GATTCTCCTACGCAAAGACCTCGATTAATGTTGGTTAGTACTTAATGCTCAGGATATCCAGGGTGTCTGTGGCCAAAGGCAGAAGGCAGAGGAGCCCAGATTCTCTTGCCTGTTCTTTGCATGGTACATGCAGAGGAATTCAGAGCTGTGGCAGGCAGCTAAGAAGAGGATCTTGCATACGTATGGCATGTGAATGTAGACGGGCTGGTTGCACACATAGAGGGAATGTCTGAGCAGCTGAAGGGTGCAGAGCCCCTCGTGCATCTTTGAACACAGAAGTCTCTGTGTTTAGAGAGAGGGTTTGTAGAGCCTGCCTTATCTCGTGTGTTACTGTAGCTACTTGGCCGCACTGAACAGTGGTCTGAAAGGGCAGACACTGACGTATGAGGCAAGATGCTGTGTGGCTAAAATAGCTTTGTACTGTAGGCAGCTGAAGGGCTGTGAAGGTGCTCACCCTGGTGTTTACCTGGCCGCTGGCCTGGACTTTGGCTAGCTGCGCATCTGTTGAGTGCAGTTCTGAGCTCTGTGGAACAGGCCAGGGCGAATTTGACCTTGGTGCTTCTATCCAGACTCCCTGTCAGTCCCACTGTTGTGCATGTTTCAGCTGCCAGCTCTTCTATGGAAGCAACGGTTTGGGGCACATCTCATGGCAGGGCACTGAGATGAAGAATCTGGGCATCTAGCTGCTTGCCCCAAAGGCGGTGGGCAGGAGGGGGCCACTGGCGGCCCTCTAGCCCAGCTTAGCAGTGCTGGTAATCACTGGAATCTGTCCTTACAGGGTTGGGCTGTGTTGCTCAGCACCTGTGATGGTTGTTGTGTTGAGTGTTGAGGCTCTCCTGAGATAGGGAGTGTGTGAGACAGGCTCTGCTGTGGGCAGAAAGGCTATGAATGAGCCCATGGAGAAGGTTTTTAACTGTTAGGTTTACAGGAAAAGGAGGAGATAAAGCCAGGAAGACATTGTGGAATGAGATGGTTATCCGGGCTTTTCTGCTGGCAGAGACGTGACAGGCTTCTCAGAGAAATACACTGTTTTCCTGCTGCTATTGTGAAGGGGAGGAGAGCTGTGGTCTGTCCTCCCTGGAGGAGGAGGCCTCCTGGCCTTGATCTTATCCAGCTCACACTCTGTGGCAAGAGTCTGTAGGATGCAATAATGGGTGTCTGCAGCCATCTGTCCCATCTGATGAAACATTCCTTGGGTCAGCTGCCCAGCAGAGGCCAGGCCTGTTTCTAGGCTATGCGTACACTGTTGCCCCAGGAACATGAGACTTGCTCCAAGCGACAAGCGCTCATCACTACCAGACTATGCAGAGGAAGCTCTGTCTGGAAAGAAGGAAAGCTGCAGAGGCCCCTCTGCCTCCCCTTTCCAGCAGGTGCGCAAGTATAATGCACTTTTCACATTAAGTGTCCCCACTCCCCCGTCCCCACCCCACACTTGAAGTCACTTTCCCCCATAGAGAACTAACAATCCTTGTTACTCAGAAAATATTGTAAAAGAAACTACAGCAGCTTGAGTAGCCCAAATGCTAGTTCCTGCCCACAGCAGTACATGTGCCTTTCCCTAGCGTCACTCACAACTGCTCTTTGTCTTTCAGGCTGTCCTAGGGCCTGAAACTTTGCAGAAGCTGCTAAGATGGCTACGAATGCACATTATGTACAGAGTTTGGCCCAGGGTGTGTTCCATGTATGGCTTAAAATGCTGATGGTCAAGGCCCTTCCACGGTCTTCACATCTGTCCATGGAGGACAGGACTTGCCCCTAACATCCTTCTAGGCTGCTGCCACCCCACCCTGCAAATGCACCTGTGCACATTCTGATTGTTTTCCGCTTTCATGGCACCTTAGCGCCAGGGGAGGGTCTGCCCATGCAAAGCAGAGAAACAGGCGTGTCGCACTGGGGGAACTGGCTGGGCTGCCCTGAGGCAAGGAGGTCTTTGTAGATAAGTGCTGATCCCTCAACTATAATCCCAGTTATGTAATGGCTGTATTAACATGTAACCGACCGCATTGTATCTAAAGCCTTAGAACTAGTCAGGTGCTCCCCTCTGACCTTGTTCCTGCCCCTTTTCTCCTACCTGATCTTTAACAAAGCATTAATAATTCTAAGGATAATCTCTATTTTGTTGTGCTTTTTTTGTAACTGTTTTAAATAAATCAATTTGTACTGTATATTTGTACTTTTGGTGAGATCCTTTTTCCTGTTTTACCATTTTAAGTCTGTACTTGGCTACACACAGATTGTATTTTTATTGTTAATGCTCTTACGAATATTGCATTTAACTTGTTGACTCTGTAAACACAGTATATATCTATATATATATATATCTATATATAAACCAATAGCTTTTCCTTCGGTGTTTGAGACTTCTTGCTCGTCTGTGGCATCAATCATCATTAGGATGTGGCTTCTCTGGTCTTATACAGAGTGATCTGGGGACTTGTGACAAGGGCAAGGTAAAGGCTGTCTGACAGATGGATTATAAGCCATAATTTTGTGTTCAAATACTTTTGCTTTTATGTGGTCTCTTTCTTGAACCCCTTGAAATAATGATCAGCTGCCAGTGACGCTGCAGGGAAAATTTCAGCTACAGTTTGCAGAGTGAGGCTACATTTCTGCTGGCCAAGCAAAAGACACAAGAGCGAGCCATAGCAAATACTGTGAGAAGCAAACTGTTGGTTTGAGTATGAAAACAGACAGAGGTAAGAATAAATGTGAGAGATCAGTTCAGAGAACAAAGGAGGATACAAACAAGGTAACATGGAGCTGAGTAGACCCTTTCCAGACCTGGTGCCTTTTCCCAAAGTGAGGGGGCAAGGATGGCTCCTGGATGTCAGTTCTATGTGATGAATGATATGTTAGAACAGCTTCTGTAAGGTGAGGAAACGAGTTACAGTGGCATGTGGACAAAATTGTAGTATTGAAAAGATTAAATGTTTTTTGTAGCAAGTGTCCACAAGACTGTAATGTTAGTTCATTATCAAGAAAAAAATGCAACATTATGCCCTTTGCATGCATGAAGGCAACTATATTGTAAGCATTAACTAGGGCTTTAAGGGACTTCAATCAAAAGTTTTTCAAACTGAAAAAAGAGGGAGAAATCAGGTTTCTAAGTAGTCTGGCTGAAAGGTTTTGCTTCTTGTTTTAACTTTACTTTTCTGATCTCAAGTAGGAGTCTTGTAGTCACCTGACTTAATGCAGAGAAACAGCAATTGGAGAGAAGACAGTAGCTCCCAATGTATTTAGACCCCCATGTAACTGTACTGCAGGCCTTAACTGGAAATGCTATGAAAGCAGTAGGAGTCTTCAGGCTACAAAACATAGATGTGTGGCACATCAGTGTTTGGTGGGCTGACGTTTGGAAACCACAAAGCTACAGCATGCATTTTTAGATGCCCGTTCTTAAACCAAATAATGAAGCGTGTACCACCTCTTTGCCCCGCCATGATTCCTTCTGTGCTAATGTTTTGCCTTTTCCAGTTTAAACATACCTAGATTTAATTTCCATAGTTGTATAGTTTCATAATGATTTCTATTAGCAATGGGAACCTTTTCATATAGGTACAGATCACATTTTGCTTTGGCTACCTCTTGAATAAACTAAAGGCGGCTTAAGTTCCGTACCCTCTGGCAGGTTTTTCCAGACTCAGTTATTGTAGCTTTCCATGGCTCCTCCCCAGCTCACCCCTTTTCCACATTCCTCTCATTGGTTTTGCTGCTGAGTGTGGAAGCAAAAGCAACTTTCTTTTCTACCTGTGTGGTTCTGTTTACTAATGGTCCCCCCCCCTTGCCCCACAGTGTTATCTGTAGTTACCACTGAAAGTCACTGTTGGTCACAGAGGAATTTACTATGAGAATTAATAACTTGAGTGTGATCCATGGTCCTAGATGAGCAGTGTTGCATTTGGCTGTATTGAAATGGTTGAACAAGCTCAGCTTACTATGAAGTCACAGAGTCACAGAACAGTTGAGGTGGGAAGGGACCTCCGGAGGTCATCTGGTCCAACCCCCCCTGCTCAAGCAGGGCCACCTACAGCCAGCTGCCCAGGACCATGTCTTTTGAATATCTCCAAGGTGGGAGACTCCACAACTTCCCTGGGTAACCTCTGCCAGTGCTCCGTCACCCTCGCAGTGAAGTGTTTCCTGGTGTTCAGAAGGAACCCCCTGTGTTTCCGTTTGTGCCCACTGCCTCTTCTCCTGTCACTGGGCAACACTGAAAACAGCCTGGCTCCGTTTTCTTTGCACTCTCCCTTCAGGTATTTATACACATTGATAAGACCTCCCCCAAGCCTTCTCTTCTCTGGGCTGAACAGTCCCAGCTCTCCCAGCCTTTCCTCAGGAGAGATGCTCCAGTCCCTTCACTATATTAGTAGCCCTTTGCTAGACGCTCTCCAGTATGTCTGTGCCTCTCTTGCACTGGGGAGCCCAGAACTGGACACGGTTACTCCAGGTGTGGCCTGACAAGTGCTGAATGAAGGGGAAAGCAAATCTGTACACTACTAGAGAGCTGACCTACCCTTATTGTTTACCATTCAATCAACTCTTTCACTTGCAAACCTGCAATGCTGTTTAAGTGAAAATTAACTTGTGAGTAAACCAGCAAACTTGTTTGCTGTTTGCTTACCTCAGTCAGCCCTTCTGTTAGTGTTTATATGGGGTATCTTAGAACAGGAACTCAGTTTCCTCTTAGTTTTTCCATGGATGCTACTGCAAATAAGCACATAATGATAGTGTTCAGAGAAAGGGTATGCACAGCCATTTCCAGGGAGACGACATCCTCCTTTGCTTCCTTTTTATGGGCACAAACTGCGAAGGATTTACTCCTGGAGGAGTTGTGGACTATCAAAGTCCTCAACTCCATAATTCATGCTGCAGTAAACAAGATCCCTTTTTAGTGAGGTAGGCTTTCACCTACAGCAGAACTGCAGCAGCCCAAACGCATCTATAGGGCAAGGATCCAAGAACAGGACGAATCACAAAAGGTAAAGAAGGGGACTAAATAAACGTGAACATTGATTTATTTCCCTCTGTTCACAGGCCCCCAGAGCAGACTGTATCCTCAGAAACTGCTCCCACCAGGGCTACTTTGGCAGACATCTCTCAGCTCTGTTCTCCTCCTATGTTCAGGAGAAAACTAGAACCATCTGTCAGGGAGAGTCAGCCAGGGACCCACAGCAGCCTCCTGAGTGTAGAAGCCTGTTAGTGCACCTGTGGCAGGGGCCGCAGAGGTGGCACAGTCCTTGGCTGTAGCTTAATGCAGCGCACTGTTGCTCTGCTCCTCAAAGGTCATTTTGCCCAGCAGCTGGCTCTCCAGCTCCACATTGCTCACTGGCAGCTGGAAAAAGTTCATTTCAGCTGCCAAAGCGGCCATGGCAGAGGGGTCCTGGCCAAACTGTGCCCGGAGCATCATGTCCATTTTCTCCAGGCGCCGCTTGAGCCTCTTGGCCTCGCGCTCCCGGATGAGCCGGGCCTGTCGTTTCTCTGGGGTCTCATTTGCGCGTTTCAGTCGCATGGCTTCCCGGTCTCTCTGCAGCCGCCGCGCCCGCTGTTCATCCGTCTCTTGCATGCGCTGCAGGCGCTTAGCTTCTCGATCCCGCATACGCCTCACTTCCCGTTCTTCAGGTGTCTCATTGTCCCGCCGGCTCTTCTTGGCTGTGCGTTCCCGCTCCAGACGCTGCAGCCGCACTTCCAAGGGCTCGTTCTGCCGACGAAGTGCCCACTTTCGCATGCCAGGTGTCTGCGCCTCCAGCAGCTTACGATAAGCAGCACAGTTGTTGCACACTAGGAGGATGCCTGCAGGATACACAGGGGTGTGAAAGGCAATGTCTTTCCCCTTAACACTGGAGGGGCCCTCGCTCTGTGGTGCCGGCAGGCGATCTGCACTGAGCACCTCTGGCAGCTTCTCACTGGAAAGCAGAAAGAGCAGAGAGTCAGAAACTTGGTGCTGACTGAAGAGTCCCCATCTCAGACTGCCCAAGGGGCTGCAGTGCACAGTGCCCCTACATGACAGAGGCCTCTGCTAAATCATTCCTGCCCACAGGCATGTCTGAATATCTAAAATGAAGCAACATCATATCTGGGGCTAGGAAGTGGGTTAGCCCAGAGCAGTATCTGGGTCGTAAGAGTGCAAGAGGTGGAATTAGCCAGCAAACTGCTCCTCCCCATCATCTCTGGATTTCTCCTTTCAGCCCTATTCCACTAGTCAGTGGATAATCTTCCACCAGGCAACACACAAACAAGGAATGTTTTGATTTCTGCCTGTAGTCCTGCTCTGGAAACGATGAACCCGTCATGAACAGACCTACTCTGATGGATTGCTGGGCAAGGGCAGGAGTTGATTGTTCTCCAGTGACTGGAGACCCCAGTCCTTTCTGCACAGTTCTAGTTCTTCACAGAGCTAACGAACACCCTTTTAGCAGCACAGTCTGTGGAGGTCTTAGCAGGTGACGCAGAGCTGCAGGCAGGAACGGATCAAGGGAATCTCACTCACTGGGGGTGTTCACAACTCTCCTACAGGCCTTAGTGGGTCCAGAGCCATGAGTTCTCTGTCATTTAAGGCAACCCACTTAATCTTTAATGTGGGTACCCTAGCCCACTCACCAGCCAGGTGACCCTGACCTGTTGAACGTGGCGTGACTGGTGAAGCGTGCTCCACACACTGCACAGTTTGACAGCTGGTCCTCTGAGTGGATCAGGAGATGTCGCCCAAGGGATCCTGGTGAGCTGAGGGCTCTGCCACATACAGGACACATGTAGCTCTTGGCACTCACCACAGCTGCAGTGTGCTGCAAAACAGCCACTAGGTTGTTAGTCACAAATTGCCCAGCTTCCTGCCCACTCTGAGGCATGCTCAACAGATACAGCAAACCATTCAGTTCAGCCTCTTGGAATGGGAACACTTTACCACTAAACCTCTGTCTGACAGCTCCTAGACCGAGCTCAAGACATCTGGGGTGTCACAGGTCAAACAGCAAGGAGGAAACCTTTCTACAGCTCCACTCCAGTGCAAGAGAAACAATTAAGGCCAAAACACTTGGATTGTAAGACCTGACCCTTGTTTTCAGAAATGCATCTGCTGTTGCTGGACAAAGCATGACTGGACTAACAGCAGGCAGGATGCTGGTGAGGAAGCGCTTAGATGAAGACAGTCAGCTGTCTGGCAGGTAAGTGGCCAATTCAGTTCTGCTTCATTCCTTCTTTCACAGACTTAATGTGCTATGAAGAGAGTACTGACAACAAAACCTGTGAGATTCAAGCACCGATTTCCTGCAATACTGGAATCATTTCAGAGGAAGAACAGCTGTTTTCATGGATAGGAACTGTGATAAGGGTACAAAATAAAGAACTGAATGATTAGGAGGAGGGTTTCTTATCTCACTGAATGATGTAAAAATTGCTTCCATGTTTAATCTGAAGGAACTGCCCAGTCTTAGCCTGCAACTGCTTGCAGAGACTGCCTTGGGATAGGGTTGTGTTTTCCAGATCTGCAGACTGGTGCCTTGCTGATTCTTTCCCCAGGACACCCTCTGGACACAGTTTACTGCTGTAAGCTTCAGTCACATCCTAGCTAGAAGTTCAGTTCTGTGACTGCAAAGACCAGAACAAAGCCACCCTGTGCTTTGGGTTGTTTCTGGATTTGGGACTTAAGGGGCTTAAGGCCAGAGATATCTCACAGTTTGGAACCATCCCCTACCTGGTATACGTGAGCAATGAGCTGCTCTCTGCTTCCACACTCCAGCTGGCAGAGGGGGCACTGTGACAGTCCCAGCATAGGGTCAGCATTCAAACTCTCAGGCACCTACAGGGAGGAAAAAACACTTTGTGCGAGGCACACAGATTGCCCCCACACAGCCACCCCACCCTCTCTTAGTATCTAGTCAATACTGCACACAGGCCTTGACCAGACCAAGTGCTGTCTGCCCAGTCCCACTGGGGCTGGTTTGTGTTCTTGCAGTCTGAAACTTCCTTTATGTAGCCTCTGAGCAAAACTCCTGCCACCTCGGGGAGAAAAGGCAGAGGCCTCATGGCCTCCACTCACACCCAGGCTCTTGCCAGCACAGTGCCTCTGGCAGGCAAGGCCTGCTCTGTAGCAGAAGGGAAGGGGAAGTCAGTCAGAGGAAGGCACCAGAACTAAAGGAAGGGGGCACACTCTGCACAATTATCTTGGCCAGCCAGGAGAATGGCGGTTTGTGCCTGCTGTCGCCTGTTCCTGGCAGCCCAAGAGGGGCTTCATACCCTTTCCTCCTGCCAGAAGATGTTGTTTGGAGAAGGTGGGAGGGAGAAAAAGGTAAGAAACCATGGTGGGGAGAGGAGGTGCTTAGACAGTACTCTTCTCTCTACCTGGGAGGCTAAGGTGAGTGCAGAACCAGTATACACTTGCCTCATTTTCTCTCATCAGTGGGGTTCCAGCCACAGGTTGTTCTGCATTCTCTAACTCTTTCTTTACTTTCACCATTGAGCCATCCTCCTCAGATGTATGGGAAGAAACTTCATCCTGGGTGGTTTCCTCATCATCACTGCCACCTGGAACACAAAGAGCAGTTATTCCAAGCGTCAGGACCCTGAGGGCATGCATTAATTAAGGGCAGGCCTTAATTGTCCTGACCAGCATCACCTGGGGCCTCACCCACACCCTCCAACCAGGGGCTCCATTTAAACTCAGGCTGGGGCACTTCAGCTTCTGAAGTGGTCTGTAGAGTTCCTGGACCTGGTCTGTTACCCTGCCTTGCTTGACAATCACTGGAACATCAGCTGGATGCACTGCTGTTGCCACCCTGCTCTGGTAAGTTGGGACTGCATCCCAGTGGTGAGGTCATTGCCCAATCTGTGTTGTGGTCCTTGGCTCTAGGCTTGCCCCCTTAGGGAGCAGCCCTGCTCTTGCTGTTTGCTGACACTAAGTCCTGCACAGGAGCCAAGGGCTAACCCAGAGGAGGAGATGGGTAAGATGGCTCTCAGAGGACCCCCACAAGCTGTACAGCACCTAGCCTCACCCTTTGTCAGAGTCTCCCCAGTCCACTACCTTGCAGTTATTGGAAGGGGCAGAACTCACTGCTGCTGGAGTCGGGGTCTTGCAGTGGATGAATGGCTGGCCTTTGGTCCCCAAGAGCTCCAGGAAAGTTGTTTTTCATCATGGCTTGGCGGGCTTGCTCCTCCAGCCCTGCAAAGACTTGCTCCCCTGGCAGCCACAAGGACAAAGAGTCAGATTTGTGCTGTTCCATTGCTTTCATAGAATCACAGAATGGTTTGGGTTGGCAAGGACCTTAAAGATAATCTAGTTACAACCCCCCTGCCAAGAGCAGGGACACCTTT